TCTTGACAATTGCAAGGTTGTATAATTTTATAGACCAACCAAAAACATAGTTTTGTCCAACTAAGGCCTTGAACTTTGGTTCTTGTGACCCCTAAGACTCCATTTAACTTCCTAAATTATCCAAAGATATACTAATGTATAATGACTTATTAACCACTTATAACTCAAACTACACTAAATTAAACTCAGTTCTATTCCTGTATTATTATTTATTTACTTCCATTGTGGTTTCAAACACAACCATGGAGTTTTGTTGATTCCATTGCATTATTAAAGTTATTATCACTCATTGAATTTGAAATACATTTTTACTCAACCAAAAACCACTATAGATTTTTATTTAATGATTTGTAATCCATGTTTAATATTTCACTTAATTTCCAAATCATGTTAAGTCAAATCCAATGGTACATCAACATTAGAATCACCAATTCCAATAATCAATGGAAATCACAGAATCATAACATTCTCCAACATGTGGATAAAAATTCACTTCATTATATCAGGATTTAAATCCAATTCTATGATTAGAGGCTAGATTACAACTCGTCATTTCAAATATGTAACTCAAATATGAAATTAGTTCCAAATGGGGAATATCATGAATATAGATGATATAACTTGGGAATTGAAATCAAATCATTAGAAGAAGCAAATCCAATAATCTAAAATTCGTTAAAGCAAATTATACATGGATTCCTCTATAAATGGAGCTTCAAAGCTTTAAAGTTTCAAATCATCTCTATTCTCCACAAAAATTAATTAGGGTTAGATCTCATTGAGTTTAGGCTTTTAATTGCTACTTTACTTCAATCATCATATTTATTATATATTTTATTTTATTACCTTTTAATTATTAATATTTCTTATTATTCTCCAAGAAAAAGACAAAAACTTCTAGGCCTATTTTGATGATGGTTTAAAGATTTACCATCCTTAAGTGTATATCTAATGAGATCTAGAGCATATCTGATTAAAACAAGTTTTGAAAATGGCACAAACATAAAAGAATGTATTACTAGTGAGATGCTTGCTCTTTGAAGAGCTATTCTAGCAAAACCAAAATTGGCGTTAATACCTATTTGAAATATTCAAATGAAAAAAACCACATTTTACTTCTCACAAAACTAAAAAATTAAAAAAAAAAAAAGAAAGTTCATACAATCGTTCAACATTAAACACTAAACACTGTGAACAAAATAACATAACTCTTGTAATCCTACTCTCCCAAGCTAGCTAGTAACGAAAATAGAATCCTAAGACATGTATGGATTACAATGTGTAATACCTAACTCGTTTTATCCCTAATTGCAAAGACTATACAAAATATCTCAATCGAAAGTGAGGATTGAAAGATGAGCAAAGTATGGTATGAACTTGTCTAACAAATGTGATATCTTTTATACCGACATTATATAAACTTTCATTTTGACCTCTACAAGTTATGGCCTCATGTCAACTTCTTCCAACTTTAATCTAGTCCACTCCTTAGCCTATAACATGTAACCCACAAACTTAACTTCAGAGTTGTTTGGCAGGATCTGAACTTTAAAGATCTTATTAATATGTCTAAATTCTTAAGATCCGGTCTTTTAAGAGGATAGAAACGAAATAAGACGATAAATTAAGAGGCTTTTAAACAGACCCTTAACCCAATAGTAAAATATCACATGTATAACTTTACTTACAACATATAAAATGTAGTTTACATTCAAATTTTAAATGATTAATATCAAAGTTGAGATTTGAATAACCTGATACTATAAACTATGAATAATTTGGTTGCTGAGTCGAGTTGTGATGTCGTTTCCTTTAAAGTATGGTTGTATACCTACTACAGTTGATGTCATAATGAATTATGTGACCATTTTTGGTTGGATAGTTGTAAAGGTGGCTGCTTTTCACTTTGGTCATTATATTTATTTCTTCGTTTCCATAACAAATGTTGCTCAAATGAAAATCATCATAAAGTTCGTTGTTATAATTCGTCTTAAAGTGATCTCGATAAAGTTCATGGTCTTATTTGTGCTACGCTTAGTAAATTTGGGATGTTGTTGCTTCTCGGCTTCAAATAAAAGTTTCAAGTTTGGTTTTCGTAATAGGTTAAATACATGGTGTTATTTACCAATTATATATATATATATATATATATATATATATATATATATATATATATATATATATATATATATATATATATATATATATAGGGTTAGGTTCATGTGAGACGGCTTAATTTTGTGAGACCGTGAGACGCAATCGTAGCCACTCATTTAGTAGATAAAACAAAAACATTTTTAAAATACAAAATAATTGAAAATTTTCGAAATTTTTTTTCCAATATTATTTTCGGAATATATATTTTCAAAAAAAAAATACAAAAATACAAAAAAAAATAAAAATAAATAAAAAAAAATACAAAAAAATACATTTTTTACATATTTTAGTAGAATATTTAGAATATTCTACATATCTGGCAAATCTAGTAGAATATTGTCAACATTCTAAAAATCATATTAGAAATGTATAGTGTAATATTCTATTAGAATATTTCACGTATTTTTTAAAAAAAAACGGTAATTTTTATTTTTTTTAATTTTTTTAGGTAAATAAAGTTCCGAAGATAATAATTAAAAAAAGAATTTTTGGATTTTTCCTTTTATTTTGCATTTTAAAATTATTTTTAAATTTGGTCTCACGGTCTCACAAAATTATCATGGTCTCAAATTAACCTGAACACATATATATATATATATATATATATATATATATATATATATATATATATATATATATATATATATATATATATATATATATATATCCATTACTTTTTATTTGTGGTTGCCGATATGCCTCTATTAAGTTTGTTCTTATACTTGCTTGTTATTGTCTATATGGAAGGGATAATACTTGTGTTCATGTAGCTGTTTCTCTGATGATTGTTGTAGTATGTCTATTTTTTTTGTTTTTGGTATTTTGACATCCTATCTATTTCTTTTAACTATGTATTTGCTAGCTTCCTGCTTTTTATTTTAATGCATGTCTGCCATTCTACAAAATAGCTAATATAATCAATGTTCTACAGTTAAGTGAAAACTATTATTTACACAAGTTAATTAAATATTATTCGAGTTGCCAAAAAATACAAAACCAACACTTATATATCTTTATGGAAAATGACTTATAAAGGTAACAAACTTTCAATTTAGTTAACATTTAGTCACTTTTCTCCTTTTCTATATCACTTAATTACCAGTAAACTTTTTTTTTTTTAAAGAAATATCATTATGATTGGTTATTGTAGATCATAAGGGTATTTTTGAAAAAAAAAGTTCATTGGTAAATTATATATACATAAAAACGAATGTGACTACATGTGATGAAAAAAGTATAATTTTGTTACCTGATAACTCATTACTTTTACTTAATCTTTCGTTTTAACTTTATTAAAAAAATCTACTAATTTGTAAAATATTCATTTTTATAAAATTTTATTTTATAAATCTATTTCTTATATTGATAAAAAGTAATTAAGAATTAAAATATGGAAATTACTGACTTACTAACATTGGAATTATAATAAATGGAAATTACGTGACTATCATTTAAACATTAGTTTCACTTGCAACTTCAATCATTTTCAAGTTTTCACAAGCGATAATTTCAATTTGATTGGAATATTACACAAACATTTCAATGATGCATAAAAGCTTAAAACAATATTTTGTCTCTAAAAACATAAAAACACGAGCCTTTTGTTAAAATCTCAAAAGTTTAATAGCAATTCTTTTTTTCTCTTTTCGAACTTTGCGCCTTACTAAAATGGTGGTGGAAGTGCTTGATATTCGTATATTCACTTGACATTCTTTCTCATGAATAAATGAAGATGATTGAAGTTTCTAAGAAAACTGAAGATCACACTTAATTGTTCAATTGCTTTTGATCAGTATAAAAAGCGGATTATTAAGAATGGACTTACAAAATAAGTTTTTAATAAATATTTATATCGAAAGTTCTAAGAGAGAAAAAATAAATATTTATAAATTAATTATCATAATAATTTTCATTACTTTTTGTTATAACATTTATACATGTTTATTTTTATAAAAAGACTATTCTGTATCTTTTAAATATTTGTGTAAATGTCTGATGATTCTATCATATTGATATTCTTGTTTGCGAAAACTTAAAAAGGATCGAAGTGTCGATGATAATAGTGTTTGAATTATAATGATAATAATTTTCACTTATATTAATTATGGTGGTTGGTAAGTTATGTTTTAATGCTTAATTCTATATATATTTTTATCAAGACAAGAAAGATATTTAAAATATATTTATAAAATAAAATTTTATAAAAAATATATATTTTACAAATGAATAGATTTTTTAATACAATTAAATGAAACATTAAAAATAGATAATGAATTAATGAATTACGAGGTAGCAAAATTGTATTTATATTTATATTTAGTCGCTTTTTTCTGAACATAATACATAGTAAACTTATTTTGGGTATTTAAAAAAAGACTCATATAACCGGTAATAACGGATCATCATCATATTTTGTAAATATAAAAAAAGACTGAAAATGAATGAAATAAAAAATTCTTTACTCAAGTAAGTCATTATCGTGAAATACAATGAAGTAGCTACCACCAAAAAAAAAAAAAAAAAAACAAACAACGTATGCACAAACAGAACTATCCGTGTACGTTCATTTATAGTGGTATTTATGGATGATGGTGGTAAGTCATACAAATTGATGCTTACATAGGGAAATTTATTGAAGTAGGTGCTTTCTTTGACGAAATTCAATTAGTAGTTGTTAGGTCATCTAAAATGATGTTTATAGATGTAAAATAATTAGCATGAAAGTTATCAAAATTACAAATAAACATATGAACTAATAATAGAGTTATCATTAATTATAAATATATTTTTATTTCAATAAGCATATTTAGTTGTATTATATTCATCCATATTAATCTAGTCAACTAAGATGATGAATGAACTAAGACGAGAGGTGGGATGCTTTGTTCATTACAGAAGAAATTAGTTGGATCAACTTCACCTTTCACCATTGACAACCTCCTGAAATTTCCCTTAAAATACTTTCTTCCCCATTTAAATGCTTGCAAATAACTTGTACCACATCCATAACCATTTGAACCAAGATCCAAGTCCCTAAAGTTCACGTAAGCTTCCCTTGGGTTCTTGGACACCAATGGTTTCATGTTCTCATATACTTTCCTTATCGAAGCAACACGATTTTCAGATTCATTGAACCCTGCATCTGTCCATTGCATGACGTATTGTATGATGTACAAATTCCCTTTCCTATGCGGGTATGGCGTCTCGGTTTCTTCTATCTGGCTCATCCTTCCGCCATGTGGCTCTATCGCTAGAATCAGATTCTCTTCCAAACACCATTTCCAAATCTCTTCAAGTGCGTCTTCTGAGATGGGTTTCTGCACATAGTCTGACTTGAACTTGTTATAACTTTTAGGCCACGGTCTCCTTTCTATGAGAGCATGGATGCTTTCACCTCTTAGATAAACAGAAAAGTAAACTACCGATTCTATCCAACTCATCTCAATGCAATCCGTTTCCTGTAATCCAAGTTCAGGAAATGTTTCATTTACTATTGCCATGAGCTCATCAGCCGTTCCCAGAAATAGCGAGTTGAATGTTACTTGCATTGTTGTATTTCCTTCTTGATCGGGCACAGGAACCGGACGTACTACAAGGTTAATGAACAAATCTTCAGTGATATTGTGCGCAATATACTGCCATTTGTTAACAACACGAGTAGCACCTTCGTCTAGTACTTTAGAAAGAGTGAAAACTGTAACTACCGGTGGAACATAAACAAGTTTGATCTTCCAAGATAATACAACACCAAAACTAGCTCCCCCACCACCTCTAATAGCCCAAAACAAATCTTCTCCCATTGAATCTCTATCCAGGATCCGCCCATTCACATCCACAATACGCGCATCTATTACATTATCAGCAGACAACCCATATTTTCTTGCCATGGTGCCGAATCCTCCGCCACTTATTTGCCCGCCAACGCCCACAGAGGTGCACTCCCCAGATGGGAATCCAAGAAGATTACTTTTTTGAGACACCCAATAAGATAGTTCGCCAAGAGTCGCACCAGATTCAACCCACGCAGTGTTATCATCCAAATTAACAGTGACTGACCGGAGTTTGTTCATATCGAGAAGGATGAAAGGGGTCTGATCATGCGAGGTGTAGGAAAGGCCTTCGTAGTCGTGACCCCCACTTCGGATTCGGATTTGGAGTCCATAATCCACGCAGCAGATGACTGTGGATTGGACATGGGAATATGAAGAGGGTGTGATTATTGCAAACGGTTTTGGGGATGTTGGGGTGGAAAACCTAAGGTTCTGGAGGGTAGAATCAAGAACAATGGAGTATGAAGTGTCATTAGGGGTCAAAAGAATGTCGGATAATGTGAAATTTTGTGAAATTTGACGAGAGATGCAATCAAGAAAGCTAGCCGAGGTTATTGATGAGAATAAAGCAAGGGAAAGACTTAGGAAAATTGATATGAGTTTACAGGTAAAGAACATCAACTCCATTTTTTCTTGTGGTTTTCGTTTGTCATGTCCTCCTCCTTTGTATATAACATCTAATCAACGCAAAAATGATTTAGTAAGACCGATGACAAAGACTTTTTCGCGTCTCAACAACTAATAAAAAATAATAACAACACGTCAGTCATCAATGAGCTAAACAATACGAAAATAGTATTATATACATCAACAACATATGTTCGCTTGTTAGCTCATTTTGGGTAATGTTTTAACTTTTATGGTAGTTCAAATAACTAATTCAAAGGAAATACCTGGAAACAAGTTGTGTGATATGAATGCATCCTCTGTCATACATTATTTTATTAGGAAAACGTACTTCGACTACTATTGTAACTTGTAAATAAGGAAATATGGAGTGGGCCTTTGCGCTTTGGCATGTCAAGAAGTTAGTGTTAAAAAAGAATAAGTTCTGTATTTTGAATCGTGTTTAGGATGCTGTCATATACGATGGAGATATTGGTTGGATAGAAATCGGATCGGTTCTAAACCAAGCTGGCAATTTATACCTGTTTGAATAATATATATTGATAATTGAACGAGTTGGGCGAACCGGTTTGGAATCCGGTTTACGTGATATAGTCGTTAGAAACATTTATTTTTCCGACAGTTATTTTCAGTGGTTATTTTAATTTTTTTTTTTGCCTAAATGAGTATCGAATATTTTAAATTTAATCACACCACCAATGACCTCGTTCAAGACTTATTAATTTCTTTTTCATTTCCATGAAATGAGTAAATCACATTCTTATGTTATAAGGGTCTGCCCACACATTCTTTAAGCTTTATCAATGTTTTAAAAACCGGTTTTTCAGTTGAACCGGTATGGTGACCGGTTCAACCGGTTCGACCACCGGGTCAACCGGTTTCTATAAATTTTATTTTTTTTCTTATTTTGCTACACATGCATATATATATAAATCATGAATTTGACGTTAGTAGTTCAAATATTAAAAATATACATAAAAATAAGTTGTAAATCAATTCAAATACATTCAAATAATACATAACCATAAATTTTAGTGTTTTATATCAATCTATATACGTCAAAAAGAAAATAAAATATAATATTGAAACAAAATATAGTTTTAGATGAATACAAACACATCAAAAAACTTTATAACATTTACCATATGTTTTTATTTAGAGAAAACTAAATAGATTTGAAAAAAATCACCAAAGTTTATTATGAAAATGGTTCTTTCTCATGTGTTTTTATTCGGTTTAACAGGTTCAACCGGTTTATTTTGACCGGTTTAACCGGGTTTTTCTAAAACTCGGCAGGTTCAATCCGGTTCAGAAATCGATATAAAACTGGTGATAGTTGAACCGTTCTCTCCCCCAGTTCCCGGTCCAACCGGTTCGACCGGCCGGTTCTAACCGGTTTTAAAACATTGGGCTTTATGCGAAATCAAAAAATTAGTCCTTGATCACATCTCCCTTATATAATAAAAGAGTAGTTTTTGTATACACGGGTCATTTATTAGAGTCTCACCAAATTGTTTCCCGCTTAAAATTTTTTCTCTTCAATTCCTTAATTCAACTCAATCACGGAAAATCAGCAATTATTTAAAAAATCTTCAACTATATCTTGCCTAAAAATTTGGTCCTTTGATTCGCTCTAAATTTGATTTCAAAATCAAAAATTAACTCCCTTCGAGTGTAAATCAATAGAACCCATCTTCTCGGCATATCCACCACAACTTTGAACTTTTAGGAGTGTCGTTGTAAACTCTAGGGCTTACGGAGACGCACCCGACTTTTAAATGGAGGAACCATCTAAAAACTTTCGAAGTGGCAATGAACTTGTCCATAAAATGCAATTGACACTGTGGTAATAAGCTTTTTTTAACTAATTTCATAAGGTTGTTTAATTTTGTTGTAGCTCATTTGATTTTTATATATCTTGTTTGTGAAATCGAATTTTGATTTAATTTTATGTAACAAGGTTATTAGTTAATTTGAAGAAATTTGAAGAAGTGGAATTGATAACTGAGGTCTAGCTAGAATTGGTAAGACGCAAACTAATTTCAATTATTACATTATCAAAACATCAAAATCTTTGATGGATTGTATTTTTTTTTTTGGTGAGGAATATCTTTCTCATGGCTTTTATAGAAAAGTTGTTAAAGAATTGATTAATTGTATTTTATAATGATATAACATTCATTTTAGTTCTTGATTGACTTTTTGTGTTTAGGGTTTTGGACATCAATATGAATGTTAGTTTGATTTTGTCTATATGCCTACATTTGTATGTGTGTGATTGTGTTGTATGGGTTTTTTAATGCATGGGTTAATTTACAAGAAGAATTCTTAAAACAAATAACAAAGTTTTAGCTTTTCTACTTTAATATTATGTATTTCAGTCACTTTACATATTTTTTGCTATTTACTATCAGATTAGCCCTTCCAAAACATTGAAAGAAAGTCATAAATTCAACTATCAACTTTATTCTGTAACATGTTATGCATTTATATTTGTGTTCGACTTGCTTGCCATATCTCTCATTCGGATATCGGTGTTCAAGATTACCTATGTTTTAGGACCCCATCTCTTCCTCTAATCAAAACATGATGAATAACTACTAGTAGAATCTTCGAAGTGGGTCTACCTTGTGTAGTTTGATGATGTTTATTTAAACATGAAGGTATGTTTTCTTATGCATTTTATTATGTTGACAACAAAGATTAGTAATCATAATTATTTTCCTTTTTTTTCATTTCAAAGTTTCTTTGTTCACTTCATCTTTTTTCCTTCATCTCATGTGGGTTATACTATGAACGAGGCTTTTAAGTAGCGCGTTGCGGCGGGAGTATAAGTTATAACTTTTGGGTTATAATATGTTATATTGACGTATGAAAACATTACACTTCGAAAATAGTGCACCTTTAGATTCATTTATTAAGACATTGCATCTCGCCTAGAAAATTGTAACTTTTGAAGTATAATGTCGTAATAAAAAAAATAAAATGATTAACGGGTCATTTGATAGTTGCTTACTAGGTTAGAGCTGACTATGTTAGAAGCTGACTAGGTCCACGCCTGACTGAGTTTATGTTATTTGATTATTTTTGTAGACTGACTGTGTTGAATGATGAAAATGACCATATTACCATTATGTTAAAAGAAAAGATGAATCAGCCAACTTAACACATATATACAACATAAATCAGACATAAATCTTATTTCATACATATCTTACAAGCTTTCATACCAAGATCATACAACATTAGAACAAGTTCTGATTTCATAACATTAGGACAAGTTCTGATTTCAGACCAAACTATCAACAAATTTTGATTTCATACATACACAAAAAAGGGCTTTTTCCATATTTTTGTTCATATTAGATACCAACATAACTCTGATTTCATACATATCTCATACAATAAAAATTCTGATTTGATACAAGGAAATTAAAGTAGATTTCAAAATTCTGATAACATACCATCAAAATTCTGATTTCATACAACATAATTTAGATATTCATACTTCATATAAGCAAAAAATTATGATTTCTACATTATAAAAAAAACGTAAGAACAGCCAATCGATCGACATGTTTAAAAAAACGAACGAAAGAGAAGCTTCTTACCTGTTGATGCAGGCCACCACTCTAGCTGGAGAAGGCGGAGGTCAGAATAATGGAAAGACGGTGTCTATCTTGGTACGAGGAGGTTTGAATTCGTCGGAGGGAGCTGTATTGAAGGAAAAGCATGGTCTTCTGTTGCTGTTGTTGCTGCGTGATTTTCTTTTAGGTCGCAGATTGTAGATTTTCTTTTAGGTCACAGATTGTAGAGCGCACCAAGCGTGATTTTTTCAGTCAGCAGGATTTTGAAGTTGGACCGAGTAAGAGGCTGGGTCAGCCATGCCGACCGAATAAGGAGATTTGGGCCTTTAATAATTAAATAATTTTAGTTTACTCCTTGCACTTTTAATTAATTTTAATTAATCCAAAATTAATTTTCATTTAATTAAGATTAATTCTAAATTAATTCTTACTCATTTCTAATTAATTTATTAATCAAATAATAAATTGACAAATCATTTCCTCACTGTCCTAAAGTTGTTTGTAGTTATTTTCTAGTTATTAAGATCAACCCAAAAAGGACTTTGCTTTCATTTCATAAAGTTATACAAATTTAGTTATGAACTTAGACACCTAATCCAACAATATATATACAAATTTAGTTGAGCTGCTTTATAGGAGGAAATGTCAAACTCCAATTTGTTTGGGTGAGTCGGTCAGCGAGAAATAGGGAGAAATGAAGTGTCTTTCTGATGATTCCATGGTAGGTTCATTGGATGACATTCAGGTTGATGAGTGTCTGAACATTGTGGAGAGACCGGTTGTTGTTTTAGAAAGAAAGTGAAGACCCTATGCAACAAAGTGGTGGGATTTGTGAAGGTACAATGGCAGCACTAAAAGGGTTGCTAGTGGACTTGGGAACTTAAGTGTAACGCCCGTAGATTCGGGCTAGTCAATTTAGAGACAATAAACATCAAAAATAAATTGTTCATAGAAGATTATTTAGAATAAATAACCTTAACTAAGTTATAGTATATGTCACAATGGTTTCGTACATATAAGGAATGCTGAAATCCGAGTTATAACGAAGAAGTTATGACATGTCGAAGTTTCGCGACAAAACCGACACGACACTGTGTGACGTAAAAAGTGAGTTTGCGAAAAAAATATTTTTTAGCCTTAGATATTTAAACAAAAGTCGTAGTATACGTTAAACCGAGAGCGTGCATAAAAAGAACACTCAAATCTGACTTCGAATGATCAACTATAACAGAGCTCGTATGCGAATGTTGTAGAGTATGTCGCCACCTACGCGTGGATATAAAGAACGTCGAAAACAGAGCTCGTATGCGAATGTTACAGATTTTAGAAGTCGGGAGGGTGCTGATGCGAAGAGGGTGACGTGGCCGAATCTCAGCCCTTGCTTGCTCCCTACGGTCCTCGGTTCGGATGCTG